CTCCTTGGGCGTTTCGCGCATGCTTTATATGTCCATTGGCAACACTCGAACTTTCTGTCAATTCCGGAACATTCCCTATTCCAAACGTCTCCAAACTTCGTTAATTATCTAGCTGGCAGCGATGCCGCTACGGTTTGTTTTTCCGCACTCGTCGCATACATTTAATCAATCATGATAGTTTGATGGAACGTTTCGAAACGGAATATTTTAAAAACGGTTCAATTTTTACAGCCCAAATGCCCAAACCAATATGTGTTAAAAATTTCAGATGAACTGAAATTTGCAAAAATATACAGTGTTCTGTTCAAATGGTAAATTTTATCGACAAGTGATGTCCGCTTGAAGATATTGTGGTTTGATCAGCCCTTAAAACTCATATTGACCAGGAAGATTTAATTAATTTGTTTCGTTGATTGTTGATAGTAAATAATTCGAGATGTGGTAAGTATGATTTTGATCAAATATCGACGAAAGTCCCATAATGATTCGGTTTGTTATTTAATCCACTCGCTTGATATAACAAGCAACCGGTAGCCAGAGCATTTGTAACCAAATGAAACCGTACCAGTTTGCCTTGAGTGAGCTCAGCATTTAACAATGCAGACAGGCCAACTCACATCAAATAACTTGATCGTACCTCGGTTGGTGATAAAGTAGCCGCTGATGCATTTTTTTAAAAATTCGGTAGGGCGTCCTTGTTTTCTTTTGGTTCCAATTAATTAAATCTACACTAAGGAACGGATTGTACCGTTTGGGGTGCCAGATCGGTAAAATCAAAATCCCCAGACGGTCACTTAAAAGATCCCTAATTTTCCCTAATTTTCCAAAAAAAAATTATAACAAAAAATGTTTAATAAAAAATTATCAGTCAAACAAAAAAGGTTATTGGAAGCGGTAGGTATATTACGAAATTTAAAAAGGGTAAGAAATGGAACTCATAATTTTGCTTCAATTTGTGTTCTTCTTGTTTATTCTTTTAAAGTCAAGCTTTAATTTAAATAGGTATTTGACAAATTATGATATTCTTATCTTTGCTGGGCCTCAGTCAAAGTGTGAAGTAAAAATGTTGAACATCGTTTATTTCATTACGTTTCGGCGCGACAACAGCACAGACAGACAAACTCATGATTGGTAAAAATCAACGTTTTTTTAGGTCTTTGCCCTCTTGAAATATTAAATTTGTCTAAGTCAGTATTTGACAAAGTTTATATGCAAATGGGGCAGTTGCAAATCACACTCACTGCAGGTGTATTGATTTTTGCATCCCAGTAAAGATTATTTCGGGGAAATTGAAAAAACTTTAAAGGAGACTGAAATCGCATTAACAAATGGTGGCTCCTCTCTCCTTGTTAGCCTCATGTAGTCCGATATTTTAATATTTTCTTCCCAAAATAATTTTTTTGTGGATACGTGGAGTAAGTGAGAGCCTAGTTCTGTGGTATCTTACTGGCACGGCCTACAAGTGACGTCACAGCAGTTGGGCTTTGACTTCCGCTGGTGCCGACCAATTTCAGACATGAGCGAATTTCAATATGGCCTCAAGTAACCACAACTTTTTTCTTATTAGCAAACCTTCAGCAAAAATTCAGTCAACTTTGAGTGAAATTTCAGGCAAAAAAACTTGAAACTGAAATTGAAATCCCTCCAGGTATAAACGTCCCCAGCATCATCAACAAGGTAAAGGCGCTGTAAATTCAGTTTTATTACAGCTAAAGCGCCATCGTATTTCAATTGCTTTACACTTCTTGGAAGTTATGTCCAAATCAAGTGAGTGTAACTTCGGGCACTGGCCCCTAATTGCGCAAAAAGGCAACATCAATAAGCCAAGTGCTGAAAAGCCCCCGATTTGCGCAATATGTCGCAACAAGGCTAACAGAATTCGATTTTCCACTTAACACTGCTTCAATACGGTTTGCGTATAAGCTGGATCGGGGCTTGTTGATATTGTTTCCCGCATTTCCATCATCCAGGTCCCGATCAATTTTAAACACGCCTCCGAACTGAACTGCGCCGTAAATGCGGAATTCTAAAAATAGGCGGTTGTATTTTTAAAATTTCCAAACTGTTCAAAAATAGCCCTCTGTCTGCCCCCTCCCAACCTCATTTTCCGATCCTTTAACGAATTGAATTCAAAACTGCTCGCAAAGTCTGGAGCATTTTAACCGCTCGTGATCCACGCTTTTTCATTCGAAAGGTATTTCGGTCCTACGCGATGTGATTTCGGCGCTTGGAATGTTCGATATTTTCGATCATTTTTGTGGTGCGTCAAAGGATATTCATTTAGTCGACCATTTAAAGGACAATGATGCACCACACAAATTCATGGAAACTAACCAAAGTCCTTCTAAATAGTAGAGTTTTTTAGGCCTCCACAAGCTTCTATAAATGGCAAAACGTCAGCAATAAAAAAACTGGCTTTAGTTTTTCACCGATTCAAATCCCGTTATTCAAGCAAACTCATTGGGAAGAATCATAAAATATCGCTTCTCTAGTTAAAGACAACTCAAGTATTATATTGTTGCAGCTAGTGAGAAAAATAAGGCGCACTGGCAACGCTGCCAGCGAGATGACTGAATATTCGAGTGTTTCCAAACGGCTGTATAATTTAAGCGCGACTCTCCTAGTTAGTTACTGAACTAGGAATAAAGGTTAAATAGTATTGCGATTATTGTTGGTTATAAATCGTGTTTACACAGAGCAAGTTACTGCAACCTTTCGAACTTCAAAAACGTAAAAATATGGTTGTAACACATCTTGAGAATCCTGATGAAGCCCAAATAAATATGACCAAACGTTAGCCCTTTAAAAAACCATTTCCAAATGTTAATATTTAATCAAAAGCGTTTATCTACGGCTGACCCGATCGGAAATGCCTCAACATCTTCAGCTATTCCATTAAAGTTGACCGTTACTTGACTGCAAATCTGTTATTGTTTGAATCGAGTACTGTTAAACGGAAGCGAAATTCTGATTAATTGCACTGCGAAAGAGTTGCTCTGGGGTTTTTACGCTGTTTTACACCAATGTTCGTTATCATTGTGCATATTCGCTGGTGTTTAGCGCTAATGGAAGACGCATCGCCCAATTGGTCTACCACTGAATTCCAAAAATCGATAACAAAAAAAGACATATGAGAAGCGATTTGGGGTCGAACCCTCTAGTCAAAGGTGACGTCACTGTTCAGCTCCATCCTTCCATCTGTCGCCTACGTGCAGCTCGACCAATTGCACGTGCCATTGACTCACGGCTAGGACAAGAGTCGACGTGTTTCAGAATGGGCTTCACTCAACTCGCCTCAGCTTATTTTTCAATCAGAACAACTTGACCAGTTTCGAATAATGGGACTTTGGACTAATCCACAGTATGGACTTACGCTGCGAGAAATCCTCAATAGAAACCGGATAATTCTTATCAGCAGTGCGCTTAATTAAAATGACACATAGATGTCCGTAACACCATGTTTTCGTGAGGTAGAACTGATAAAAACGTGGAAGTTTTGCGACTAGACCCGCTAATAACCAATGGGGAAGCGCGCAAACAACAAAAAGTGATAAAAAAAGAACACAGCCCTTACTAATCCTTTGCTGCTTAATCTTTCGCAATCATTCAATCTAATCTCCAGAGTATTTCCCAATCTGCACACGTTTCTATCAAAAACGAAAACCAAATGAAACCAGCGTTGCCAGCAGACCTAGTATTCTCGTAATAAATTCTACAAAATTCTCAAAAATGGTTTTAAATTAAGATAATAAATCGCAAACTTTGGCCCGCAAGAGCAACTTTAGAAATGAAAGCACATTCAAAATCTTGCCTGACTCAAAACCGATACAGAACGCACTTTGCCCTCTGAAATCTACCCAAAAGTGTATTTCGAACTTTACTGGTTTCTGAGAAATCAATGTCAAACTAACCGCTACATAAACAGTCAGCAATTATTTCGCAATTTTTTTTTCTGGAAAATAGCCTAATGAGACCAAATAGAAAATTTTGCCACTTATAAAATAGACTACACCCAACAAAATACATGCAAACGCCTCTCTATAATTTAACTGATTTTTTAAGAAATAACTGGCTTGCACAAACACTTCCAAAACAACAAAAAAAAAATTCTGAAAATTCCCTGAATATGAATCAAAATCAAAAAGTTTTCGACTTATAGACCTGAATTTGGCCTATACATTGATATAAAAGTGACTCCCTGACTTGACAAACTTCTGAGCAATGAACTGCCGAACTTCGGCCTGCTTAAATAACGGCAAAAAGCACATTCAAATTGTCTTTTAATTCGAAACTTATAGAACCAACTGACTTTACTCTACGAAATCCATATAAAAAGCCTCCCTAACTTCGTTAGTTCCTGAATTGAACTGCCTAACTTCGACCTGCAACAAAACTTGGTGAACCAAACGCTATTTCCGAAAGCTGGATCCGCTGCTCAATGTTTGATATTCAAATCGAATTTCCTCTCTGATGTTGTTATGATTGAATCGAATTTTCAATTATCTAACCAAAGATTGCAAAACCGAAATTCGTGGCTCAAATGAGGCTTGAGAAACGTCGAAAAGGGCAGCGTCATGTTTGAGTTGATTTTGCAACTCAAAAATAAAACTTCTTGAAATCAATACTGTTTTGAGAGAAAACTGCCCAAATTTCCTTATCAATGGTGCACTTTCTAAAAATGCCAGCTAGTTCTCTCTGGAATGATGTAAAAATGAGCGTTGTTTCTCTTTTTGTTTCAGAAGAATGAGCAAAAACGGGACGGAAAACATAAAATTTTGGAATAATCTTGTACCTTGTATCTTGTATAAGTGTCTGATATTGAAATTTCGCTTTCTGGGTCAAAACTGCTCGAATTTCCTCACACACGTTGTTATGACTGAATCGTTGAACTTTGCAAGTTACAGAGAAAATAGATGAGAAATTCCGGCCTGCAAAAACCACCCGGCAACCCAGACGGAATTGTGCAAAATTCAGAAAATGTTTGCCCTACAAAACGCGCCTAAGATTGACTTTCTCACTTTATTAGATTCTGAATACGTGCATGCCAAACTCCGGCTTGCAAAAACAACCTCGTCAACCAAACGCAATTTTAAAAGATTTTCAAAAATTCCATGATGATTAAAAATCGAAACTTTCCACTAATATGAGAGACTTTGCTCTACAATATGCATCCAACAGTGACTTTTTGACACTGCAAGTTACAAAGGAAATAAATGCGAAACTGCTGCCAGCAAAAACCACCACGAAAACCACATTGAAAATTGAACCTTCTTTTAGTAGAGCACAATTGTTAAAAAAATGCTCTTAAATTTTAATTTAATATCGATGAAATGGTTAAGGGGCGCAATTTACTTGCATCCGTTTTCGAGCGTTGCCAGACTGTGCTAAAATCCCGCATAACCAGGAAAACTATTTGCTGAACAAAGACGTAACGGTTCAGTATAAGGAAAATCCATCTGGGATAGACTTGCTAGTTGAGTTATTGGCGTAAATGCACCAATGGTTAACTAGAACGTCCGTTCGCTTTAAGTCCTTGGCTGTTGACACGCCACTGGTTGAAACACTCATCGCAGTACCAGATTATCGGCTTTAATTGTGGCAACGCAGCATGAGCAGCCGAACAAAGTGAACAGATAATATGTTCGGCTGTCTTATTCCGATTCGTATCGTCGCTTTATTATCCCAAGCGGTTTAAAGCCGGCCGAAGGTCGTCGTAGTAGTACTATGGCAAATATTTACACTGACACTGTAGACTGCAGGAACCGCGAGTGGGGCGCAGGCGCATCCAGTAGCACCGCACTACGACCTTTCATGGCCGGAGCTCGCACCGCACGAAGTCTAAAGTTTGATTTAAAGCGATTTTGCGCATCTCGGGTCAAAATACTGAAACAACGCCACTTTCTGGGAATTAACGCTGCCTGCCACTGATGTCATCGCGTTCGTTGGAAAATTTATCGGTATTTTTTTCCAAATCCGGGTCATTTTTTTCGGAACCAAACGGTACTGACGTGCGCTCAACAATGAGAGAGTTTATGATGCACAGAAAAATTAGTGGCTTTCTTCTTGCCGCCACTGGCGGAAATTGTTCTCACTTAGATGTTGCACATTCGTATCAAAGGAACTTAAATCTGGTGGACTGGGAGGCCAAAGTAAACTGTTTAGACGCCCCAACACTAACACAGCAACATCGATGATTGTCTTGGCCAGTCAAAAGTCTCGATTCGACCCTTAGTGCTTCAATAAACGACACCAGTACATCGAGTGAATCACTATCCATGATTAATAGCGGGTCGTGTGAAAATCATGATGTTCCAAAACATTACTGTTTCCAAAAAAAGCCGGATTGAAACAAGCACCTTTGGGGCGTGTGCCAAAAAATCGTTGATGAATCGAGAGGTCTTTAAACTTGGCGGTCTCGTGCCCGCCAATGACTCTCGGTTAATATTAACTCGATTTTTTTTTGTTGCACGCACGCCAGTGCCTAGTTAGGCGGGCAGAGCCAATTGACTTTCCCTCATCAGTGGCGTTCGTATCGGCACTTGAAAAAATGGAAGACATCGAAATCGGCGCTGAAAATAGCTGTTACGGTTGTCGTATCCGGCCGGGTGAGACTATTTTACTGGATTTGAGTCGTCGTAAGGCGGATGTTGCGACCGGAAATCTGAAAATAAAGGTGGCAGAGAGTCGAGAGAGTCGAACCCTCCAATCAGCTCACTTTTTACCTGAATCGTTAGGCGGTTTATCACAGGGGACGGTTTAACGTGTCCAGACTTGTGGCTTGAATTCTAATTAGCGCATCGAGACCAACGGGCGACTTTGACCGAATATGGTTGTTGTTGATATGAGACAACGACTCTGAGATCAGCGTTGCATGATTAGTGATGAGCAACACTAAATTTATTTACTTTCAATGACTCGCTTTTTTTTTTCGCTCGACAAAGGACTATAGAATGGTATTTTTTCCTTAAATCCTCATTAATCAGAGCAACAATGGGAGCATTTGTGAGAAATCGTTAAATTAGCAACTAGCGCCGCTATTACATCAGAAAAAGATACATTTTACACGTAGCAATAACCGTGTTCGAATTTCCCTTTGGACTGAGTTGAAACAATGTAAAGCAAGCTCCCAATGATGGTAGAATGTTGAATTTGAGATGCTCTATCGAAAAGTTTTTAATTATTATTCCGATAGTTTTCTCTGCTTCCGCGATATAATTGACTGGTCAATAGTTCAAAAAAAATAGCTCTATCATTTGCGAGGTTAAGATATTCGCGTGACGCCTGAGGAAACAATGTTGATTTCGAAGCACCCTACAAAACGGGTCGATTGATTAGTTTGATATTTTCAACCGTTTCCGAAAAAATGTTCCAATCATTAACGATAAATAACAGTTTGGAGATTACATTCTGCGTTGCAAAACTCGACAGTTCGTTGCATTCTTCGTTTCCTTCTGACAAAAATGACAGAATTTGAGGCATTTCTGGAGAATTGATATTTTATCAAAAAATTGACATGGACACCACCCTTAAGAACTTTTGGTCAAAATCAAATTTTTACATACGTGTTTTTTGCGCTCAATTGACTGCTTTCGACGTAAGAAATGCCCCAATATGCATATAGACAGTGGTTTAGTCTATAATCAGGAAAATATCGTCGGTTAAAGTTTGCGAACAGTCAAAAACAGTTCAAAAAAGGTCAAAATGTCGTTTAATAGTCTGAAACTTAGTGTATTTTTCAATGAATTCATGGCATTTCTTGCATCATTCTTCTTTAAGATGAAAATGAAGAGGAATTCAAGGCATTTTGAGAGAATCGATATATTTTTCAAAAAATCGACCGCCATGGTTAAGGAATTTTCTATCAAAATTTTACATGTGAGATATTTGCGCTCAGTTGATTGCTTTTGATGCAAGAAACTTCTCAATATGCCTTTATAGTGTTCTGGTCTATAATAAGAAAAATATCGTGGATTATAGTTCGTGACAGCTCAAAAGCAACGAATACAATATTTACAGCCATTGTCCAAAAAAATCTGAAATTTTTGGGCCCATTTAGACAGCGAGGTACTATCAAAGATTAGTAGTCTACTAATCTCTGGTACTATTCGCGAGTTCAATAGTCCAGACGCCCCCTCGTGGCTAAAATTATAACTACACGTTAAGTAGTACTTTGACACTTGTTTTGTTGACATTGGTGTTTACATCTGATTGTGATTTGTTTTGTTCTAATCAACTTCTGCAAGCTTTTAAAGAAATAGAAACAAATCGAAATGTGTGTAAGTATTGTTTTATGTTATAAATGTCATCAACTCCAATAAATAAACAAATCTGACAAGTCTCAACTGTCACTCGGCAACGAGTAATTTGACGTTTCGCAGCGCCCCCATCGGTAGTTGAACTGGCGAATTACTATTAGTTCAATCCACATTTATTACCGTCACTTGTCACATTGACAACCAGTGCCAAAAGTAACACTTCATCATAAATCCCCTGATGGGCCTCCCTTTTCTCTTTTTCACAGGTAAATTGCCATGGCCTATCTTTATTCAATGTGTGTTTAATTGTGTGACATTGTGTTGAGCATAGAAAGGCGTTTTTCTGCCAAATTTAATTCACATTAGAGCGTTTGTAGTGATTAAATGGTGCCTACTTGATGGTATCAGTGCTACATTTAATATACAGGAAGACCATTTTATCCAAAAGAAAAAAATGTCAAAAAAATCGCAGTCAACCATGACACTTTTTTTTTAATTTTAATTTTTAATAAGATTTACCCTTAAAAATGAACATTTAAATTATGTTGTTTAGGTTAGTGGCCAATCGAATCAGAGTGTCATCTCCCTTTCTAATTTCGATCAGTATAATCAGCTAAACAAGCAAGATCTCTTGCAGGTTAATTCAGGCTAAAGGTGTACTACGCAACCTGGTAAACATTAGAAATTTGAACTAAATATTTTAAACGGGCCTGCTGATTGGCCAGACCTCGGTACACTGGAATAAAGTGAAAGGCGAGGCCGGTGCATTGTATTGTTCATAATAATAGATTGACAAGAGTGGAAAGCGTGACCGTCTAATGGCCGTTGTAAACCACATATTATTGCTATTAAAAGTAAAGATGCATAAATTCAGGTTTATTGATAATGATGATGATGATTGTTTAAGGTCAAACTTGGTAAACCTGTTTGGGGTAAGGTTCGTGAAAGTAAAAACAAAAAAAAATTCAAATGGTTAAAAATGCACTTCGCAAACTTGTCGACAGTGGATTATCGGCCTCCGGAAGGGTCATTTCGATGAAAATGAATGGCAACTAAAGGGGGAACACCGGCCTTATTGTCTCGCTTGAATCATGCCCGTATGACACAGGAATGAGTCACTTGGAGCCGCTACCCTAACCATCCTGCACTCTTTTATTGATATGACGCAATAATGAACAACGACTTGCTTTAAATTAATCATCATCGTCCATCTACGATCGAGATCGTACTTTGTGCTGAATTATCTGTCGGCTTCAACAGAATCGCTGCATAATACAGATTTCCAGCGAATTTGTATTAAAAATAGATATGCTGGCATGCACAACAAAGGGTTGTGTTTCGATGGTGAATCATTCAAGATTCTGATTTAACCGGAATGAAATCTATGCTATGCGCTGACTGAGCAAGTATCAACTTGAAATTTCCACAGCCTGTCGAACCGAGAAACATGAACCTGAAGATTCTGATGATTTTCTTAAAAATTAATGAATAAAAATCGTAGTTTTTCACTATTCTGGTTCAAAAACTAGAAAAAAAAACTTACCATGGAACTACACGGTTTCCTTTAAAAATTCGCAACTTCCGATCAAATGAAAGAATCAACTTGAAATTTTCAGTCTCTAGAAGACGATTGCAAACTCTGAACATTTAATTAAAATGCCACCGAATGATTCATTTCGATGACTGCAAAGAGTGGTTTCGAAATTTTGGGCTTCCACACAACTGTGATTTTCTCTAATCATTCGTACAATGCATTCCAGAGAAGTCAGAAAGTTAACATTTTCAGTCTGTAAAACACTTTTCCATCTTAAAGTGCTGTCAATTTCATGAATATATCACCGAATTCTGATTTTGGACGCCTTTGCAAATACTGGTCCACAATAGCTTTAGACCAAGTATGCAGTTAAAATTGTCAGTCTCTAGAAGCCGTTTAAACCTGAGAACGCTGATAATTTCATTAAAATGTCACCAAATCCTGCTTTTTCGCAAGTGTTTGTGTTCTGGTTCAAAAATTATTCTTTTAGTGGAACTACATGGTTTCCTTTAAAAAGTCGCTACTTCTGATCAAGTGCAAGAATCAACTTGAAATTTACACAATCTTTATAAGACATTTGAGTCTGCAAACTCCGATAATTTACTTACTTAAAATGTCACCGAATGATGATTTTTGATAAATTTGCAAAAACTGGTTTTAAAATGCCGGTTTTTAAGCGATTTTTTTAAGTTCTTAATTTATAATGCAGATTAACTATCAACTTGAAATTTTTACAACCTCTAGATCTTTGAGCCTAAATATGCTAATATCATCTAAATCATTAAAATATCACCGAAACGTCCAACGTCCAAGTCCACGAATCAAGTTGAAATTTTCATAGCCTCTAGAGGACATTTGAAACTGCAAAGTCTGATAGTTTAATTAAAATGACATTTACCAATTCGTAACATCTAATCCCTGGCAAGTATCAACTTGAAATTTTGATAGTCTCTAGAAGCCATATGATCTTAGACGTTAATAATTTTATTCAAATAGTGCAAAATCCTAATTCCTAACAACTTTTCAAATTTTGGTTCAAAAATTAGATTTTTCATTGAAGTACATAGTTTTCCTTGTGTAACATCGCAACTATCAACTTGAAATTTTCACGGTCTCTAGAGAACATTTGAATCTGTAAACTGTGATAATTTGATTAAAAGTGTTCGAAATCACCAAATAACGATTTTTCACGACTAGAAAATCGTCTTTGGACCAGTGTCCAAAGACGATTTTTACGCAACTGGAAGGTTTCTTCGCAAAATTCTAATCTCGGGCAAGTATCCAGTTGAAATTTTGACACTCTAGAAGACATTTGAGCTTAGACTGATAATTTCATTAAAATGTCAGCAAATTCTGATTTTTCAACTTTTCAAATTCTGGTTCAAAAATTTATTTTGATGGAACTACATTCAAAAAATGTTGCCTTAAAAAATGTGTAACTCGATCCAAAGCGACTATAGACTTGAAACTTGGAACATTTTCTAGATGATATTTGAGTCAGCAACTTGATAATTTGACTAAAATGCTAACAAATGATGGTTTTTAATGACTTTGCAAAAACTGCTTCAAAGATAACGGTTGTTACCCAACTGCTGGTTCCTTTTCAAAATTAGTAACTTATAATTCCGGGCAAATATCAACTTGAAATTTTGACACTAGACGACATTTGAGCTTAAACTTTGATAATTTCATTAGTGTCAGCAAATCCTGTTTTTCAACAATTTTTCAAATTCTGGATCAAAAATTTATTTTGATGGAACTACATGGTTGTCTAAAAATGTGTAACTTCCGATGCAAAGCGACTCTCGGCTTGAAACTGAAACAATTGCTGGTTTTTTTTTTAAATTCGCAACTTATAATCCCGGGCAAGTATCAACTTGAAGTTTTGACACCCTCTATGTATATCACCAAATCCATTTGAGCTTAAAGACGCTTATAAGTTGGTTGAAATGATTTTTAAAAACTATTCATATTCTGGTTCAAAAATACTCTTCATGGAAGTCATGAAATGATTTTGATCAAATTAACTTTGATGATTTGTTTTGACATGAGTTCCTCTAAATTTGCAAGTTCCGATCAAGTGCAAGAATCAAGTTGAAATTTTGACAGGGTCTAGAGGACATATGAGTCTCCAAACTGATGATTTAATTAAAATGTGACTGAATGATGATTTTTGATGACTTTGCAAAAACTGGTTTTAAAATGACGGTTTTTACGCAACTGCCTGCTTTCTTTTAAACATTCGTAATTTAAAATTAATGTCAACTCTGAACTTGAAACTTTGACAGCCTCTAGACAACATTTGTGCCTAAGTATGCTAATAATTTAATTCAAATGCCACCGAAACTGATGTAAAAATTACTCTCTTCAGGGAACTACATTGTTGTCTTTGAGAATTCGTAAATGTCGATAAAGTGCAAGTATCAATTTGAAAATTTCATACCCTCTAGAGGACATTTGCATCTGCAAACCCTGATAATTTTATTAGAATGCCACCCAAATAATGATTTTCGAGCGACATGGAAAAACTGATCCAATAATGACGATTTTCACGCAACTGCGTAGCTTTTTTGAAAAATTCATATTTCCAGTGCAGGGCAAGCATCAACTTGAAATTTTTACAGCATCTAGAAGACATTTGACCCTAAATATGCTAATAATTTCATTAAAATGTCACTGAACCCTGATTTCCATCAACCTTTGAAATTCTAGTTCAAAATGTTTTATTTTCATGGAACTAGATGATTTTCTTTAGATTCGCAACTTTCGACTCAGGGCAACTATCATCTTGAAATTTTTATTTTAGTCCCTAGAGGACATACGAATCTGCAACTCGTAATAATTTCATTAAAATCCGACCTCATACTGATTTTTGACAACTTTCCAAGTTCATAACTAATCAAATCATTCATCGCTGAACTATCACACATTGTCTTATTCAATTCACTAAGAAAACTTCAACAAAAAACTACCCGTAGACGCAAAAACAATCTTAGAAGAAACTCGATAATATAAACCCAAAACACATCATTTAAATAAATCTCCAATCGTCTAGTACATAATACAAAAATTGAATGAAAATCCTCAAGTAATGAAATTCCGCAAATTTACCTTGACATTCACGAAGATACAAAGAGAGAAAAACTGAATTGCATTGAAATAGACAATAAATTTGAGTAGATTAAGAGTAATTCGATTAAAAGAGTTGCAAACAATTCGTAAATGATGTAATCCACGGTTATTGGTAGAATGGATTCGATCGGCCGTGGGCGTTAGCAGGCTTAAAGAGAGAGTTAAAAACTATTGCATAAAGCATTTCATTGAGGTCACAACTGCCTGTCGGTAGTTGAAAAACGAGAAATGTGCGCTTTTTATTGTCATCGGGTATTGTTGAAAAATTACATGGCCAAGTTTTCTGCTGAACCCGCCCACCTTAGCGTGGAAATCCATATGGACCCACTCCAACACAAGCGCTCTTTATGGTAAAACTGCTTAATATGGCCAATTGATTATTTATGATGCTCACTAGAATAAGGCACTTTTCCATTTATTCCTTTCCTTTCCATTCATTGGCGAAATCCTCATTCAATGCACGCAACCACAAAGTGAACAATTAATTAATCCAATCAATTATAGGAAAAGCAAAAATCTGAAGTAGGCAGACGCGTAGAAACTTTGCAAAGTGAAAGTCGCACATTACGAAATGGCAAATGACCAAAGCAAGTGGCACCGCATTTCAGCAACTAATAATAATTGCAGGATTTTTTACGGCAAGGTTGCTGCTTACCTAATGACGCATACTCAAACAGTTATTGTTCTGTTTATCGATCGAGAAAAGATCACTATTAAAAACCACGCAAACTATTTGTATTGACCCTGTAATGCCAGCGAGCGCTTAGTGGTGGAATCAGCGACGCGGTTGTCATGGAAACTGTTCTAACAGAATAAGCAATTAGGTGGATACGGGGGCAATGTCAAATCAACTAAGACCAGCCGCAGGACCCAGCACAACCTACGAACCGTTCCCGATATTTTTTTGAATAATTAATTGATTAGCGATAATCCGTCTAATTAGGGACGCATTTCCGCCAAAGTTATCGTTCTTGAATCGGGATTGCAGCATTTTGCACTCCAAGGCAACATGATTCCATTTGCAACGAGATTATTATAATATTTCAGTCCCAGTTGGATTGGAATAATTAATGCGAAGGTTATGCACACACTCATTGGCGCGTGAATCGAATAACAGATATTTATATTAATTATTAAACTGGACCGAATATTGCTCACGCAGAGCAGTCAACTTTACAGGCGGATCTTCAGTAACGCTCAACACCAAATCCGCTCTTTGAATTGATCATGGCCTCATGTTGCCATATCAGCAGTAACTGAAAAACTTCTAGGGATTTCGTTTGGTGTTTTTTATTTGTCAAGCTTCACCACTAAACTAATTATTTAAAATAATGATGCAAGTTTTCCTGTCGTTGCTCAGTCTCAGGTCAGGCGCTTATCGCCGAATGGAACTTATTTTCGTCAATTCCTAGGCCATGATAGTGGACTGATTTGCGCCAACATAATCATCATCATTCAGCAGTTCAATATAGTCATTGCCTTGGTTCTTGTACGCCGATGATTCATGCCAGGCCTTCACGCCTCATGCCCATTTCAAAGGAAGCACTATTGGAATTTTCGTTCGTTTTTTTTTGGTTCATTAATTCATGTAGAATGGCATGAAATTGACGAGGATTCGATTTAATTTGGCCAAATTGCCAAAATGCTGACACTTCTTCATTGCGATTGGAAAAAAACCTTTGCGTCGCCAGTCAATACAACAGAAAATTAATGACAATGCAAAAATTGACATTAGTTTTATTGAGAGCGCGCTGCGCGTGGTTCCCTTCATACCAACGTTGACTGGACGGTGAAGGGCGCGTGATCCCTTAAACTAATATAGAATAGTACTGACACTACTGACACATTGCAGCTGGAAAGTGACATAAATGACCGTTAAACCTCGCCGCCAGGCAATTTCGAAAAATAAAATCGGTAAATGGCAACATTTTATACCCAAACCAACACAAAGCGCGATGGTAAAAGGTGACTTAGTTGGTGTAAGCACACAAGGTCGATGGTTGTCACGTGACCGAAGAATTACCTGATAGTTGGAGACCAATTTACCGGATCTCCACGCTTCGACGGTAAACAGGTTAGTTAAAAATCTGTCTGGGTTTTACAATGAGCATTGGGAAATTTCATTTTTCACATATCTGGTAAAATCAGGGACATTCCTCCTTGTATGCCAATTAAATGTGTTTTTTTTTTGGAAAAACATTCCGCAAAATCCTAACGACTTACTAATATCTACATGGATGGCAATATGCAAATAGCAATTCATATGCCATTCGTGTTCGATCCACACATCAACATTGAGTTTGTAAATATGGAAAACGGAAATCAACGATCATAATTATATCATCCAACCTTGGCGTCTATGAGATTTAGGATTATCATTATTTATTCAATGCGATAAGCAAGACATATTATTTTTAGCTATGATTTCACTCTAGTATCGATACTTCAAGTACCTACGCACATGAAACTGAATAAAATTGTTCATTCACACTCGAAAGCAAAGTTATCACTTGGTCATTGACAATGGCACCCGAATACCTCAAAAGAAGATCGGTATCTGTGATATATGTAACGACAGTTTTTTTGGCAATAAACCTTAATTCTGCTTAGCGACAGGAAAGATAATGGAGCTTTAAATAGACCACTTCAGTAAATCGTCATGTTGTTATCAACATGACTTTTATAAGATTTCTGTGGGGTGATCAACCCTAAAGTGGGTCCTCGAAATCCTAAAACTTCCTAGAATTCCAGAATTTTCCAAATTCTCTTTAAAAAAAACGCACTTCTTACTTGTGCACCTCGTTACCCAAAAATTCATAATTCACTCACTCACGCAGATTTTGTATTATATCAGAAGAAACTTGAGTTGATAAGTGCAGAAAGTGCTTGGATCACTTGGATCTTCCCATTGACCTTAAAGAATTTGTCAAAGTTGCTGATGATGAAAATAATGTGAGTGGAAGTTGCAGATTATCAAGCAATCAGAACTCCCAAATTCACAAAGATTGAATATCGATAATGGAAAACCGTTTACAAGCATGCAAAATTTCAATCCAGTCAAAGTCCATTGATTTTCAAACGTTTTTCAAATCAAACTCGGTTAAAAAATACCGCGTCTCATAATTGTGCAGCTTTTAGCTAAAAAAATAGTTACTCCCAAAGCAAAGCAGATTGAGGTGGAAAATTTTGGATATTAACGGGATAAGTCTTAATTTATAAGTGCACCAAATTTCACTTTCTTCAAATCGCCCATTGACTTTCTGAAATTTTCAAAGTTTTCCATCATAATAGACGTGAGTCCAAACTGCACAGGCATTGATTCAAACACTTAGAATTGCTAAATTCAAGGAGCTTGAACACCGAAATACTGGACATTAATTAAAGAAGCCTTAGCTTGCAATGGGTGTTTTCATTGTATCAAAAATTCCTACAAACTGATCATTAATCTATGGTAATATATATATATGAAAGATTAAATAATAAGTTTATACTATCTATGTATTGCTATTTTGTTCAATATTTAATAAACAAATTCAGCTAAAATTCTAATTATTTATGAATCTCTAAAACGTAATCCTATTGGTTGTGACGTCTCTGGTCATATAAATTAGGTAAATAATATATATAATTTCACTTATTCAACTTAACCTAACTTATACACATGGCTGCTTTAAAAGTAAAATGAACTCTTAAAGCTGCGAAAACAACAAAATAAACACAAGACACTTTGTTGATATGACCTGCGTCACAATCGGCATAGGCAACCGACGATACGGATTCGTCGTTTTTGGCGGAAAATATCTGATTTGAATTTAAATTCGCTTTAAAATTATTATGGAGACTTTTTGCCAAAAAAAATATATCAGTGTAATGTTAATACTTTCTATATATCAACATTAAAAAAAAGTGAAAACACCCTATTGTGTAATATTTCCGAGCAGATCAAAGCTTCCAATTAATTTCCACCATTTTTCACTCTTCGTGTAAAAATACCGCGGTTCCTACTGGTGCAGTCTGTTGCCCAAAAATTTATAACTCCGAAATTCACGCCGACTTCCAAATTTTTCAAATTTTACCATTAAAATGGACGTGTCCAAACTATACAGGCATGGATTCAAACACTCAGAATTGTCAAATCCAAAGAGCTTGAACACATCAATTCTGGACGCCAATCAAATAAACCTTAGTTTGCAAGTAGGCAATATTTCCAGACAGATCAAAGGTTCCAATGAATTTCCATAAATTTTCAAACTCGGTCGTTTCAAATACCGCGCGTCCTACTTGCGCAGCTCGTTGCCCAAAAAGTTGATAACCCAGAAAACCGCAGTTTTCGCTAGCAAGTTTTGAAGTATTTCAGAAGAAACCTCAGTTGATGAGTGTAGAAAGTTGTAATTAGTTCAAATAGCTCAAGGACTTTTAAAACAATTTGAAAATTGCCTAGACAAACTTATTTAAGTCCAAGTATTAAACAATCAGAATTTTCAAATTTTCAGATTGAAGACAACATTTCCGAATATTAATTAAAAGAGCATTCGTTGCCGAGTGAAAATTTTCAATCGAGTCAAAGTTCTTATTGATATTCACGGTTGTTGCAAACTGTCTGTAAAATATACCGCGCTTCTGTCGTGAGCAGCCGTTTGGCTAAAAATTTCTAAAACCCTGAAACTCAAGCAGATTTACATTGAAAAATTTGGATTCTCGCAGAAGACGCCTTAGCTTAATTGTACAGAGTATCCATTACATTGAAAAGCCAACTGACTTTTTTAAAATTTCAAAATTGACCATTAAAATGGACGTGAGTTCAAATTTTGCAGTACAGCCATAGAACTGATAATTGCAAAGAAATTGAAGACCAAAATTCTGGACATCAATAAACAATTCCCGACATTTTCTCAAAAATTCGTCACTCCGAAACTAATGCAGATTTACCTAGGAAACATGCAAGTATGCAAAATTTAATTTAAGTAATTTCAGTTTCTCGTTGAGTTTATAAAAAAATGTAAAAATACCATTTCTCTCAAAAATGCAGTTGAGGAAAAGTAGAAATGCTTAGGGCTTCTAATCTAAATTAACAAAAAACCAGATCAGATACCCAGAAACATTGAACGAAACTTAGCCAGCGAAGGCGACTGTTTAAAAAAATACTGATGGCCGATGCTTCACATTCACTTTCCTTTCTTGAATCACCGAAATGCCAAACAATAGAAATCCTTGCCGAAATACTAATAGAAAAACCGTCGTCTTATTGGTATTACCCAAGCAACGTTTAATCTTAGATGTGAAACAACTGAACAAAATATCCCGTTTGTGCAAGGACGAAGCCTCCGGCTGTTCAACTTCCGGATTGTTGTTGTTTCTACTAGATACCCGAGTACGTCACAAAGTGAAAGTTGAGGTTTTTTTTCAACATCGCACGATCCGAACTGAACCCATTCAAACTTGCGTCGTATTCGTTCCCTTCCCCGTGAAAAACAGAAAACAATCAAAACCAATCAAATCATTTGTTTCAACTGGTCAGCAAAGTCAGGGTGGAAAAACCACGCCCAAACTGGACACAACGTGTTGTTACGGGTGGTCAAACGACCGTTGGAAATCACATGATCGGCAAGAGATCAGGACAGGTGCCCTCTTCAAGCACCTGCACCAAGATTGCAGACGGCAGGTGGCACCCCTTAGTGGCACCCAGACGTGCAGATAAGAAACATGTGAAACGATTCAAAAAAGCCATTTTTCAATGAATGAATCCAACTAGATGGGAAGACCACAGGCTGATTACAGCATAAACATATAATTCCTGCACTCTGCACTAGCAAATCAAATGACAATATGCAAATATTCCTCGAAGGTGCACCATTTCGCCTTCTTCGTCTTCTTCTGGTCTTTCAGCCGCGCGCTGTTTAAATGCAAATCGAGGTTGCACAGTACGACTGTTGCAACTCCGTTACGTAACAATGATTGTAAAAGACCAGCTAAAATGTAGAAAAAATGAACGTTTTGCCTCGTGAAAGGAGCACATTATAGAAGGTTTTTAGCAGTGCGAAAAGGCGTGGCAAATCGTGTCGTATCACCATCTTCAGGCAGTACCATTAATTATTGCTCGGATCGTTCATATTCGCGATTGTGCGCCATTAAATAGGCCATACATTTATTTAGACGCGGAAATCGATTGGTAATTGACGGTTTAAATAAACGATTTTCTTCAAGCCGACCCGGAGCTTGAATTGTTTTACATTATTTAACAAATTTAAACAAGAAACACTTATCAATTTCTCGGGCTTTAATGCCGCCGAAAAGAGCTTTTCCTAAGGTTTCGCAAGCTACGAATTATTTTCCATGACGGCCTTAAAGCCCTAAAAACTCATCAGTTTCTAGCAATGTTCAGGAAATTTTTTTCTAACCAAAACTAGTTTAACGGACTCAACCCTCAATGCCTTCAGGCTTTTTACAAGACAGTTAATGCAGAAAAAAATCAAATGCATGATCAAGACAGTAAAAATGCCTACAGGTTACATCCTTGAATTAATCATTGCACATTTAACAAGAACTATTAAACATGGATGAATCACCAAAAATCCGTGACTTATTGCGAGGAAATTGCCAGCCAAAAAACGACGATGATTTTCTACTAGAGATCGTTAAATAGTTAGACTGAAAAAGAATTGTTCGTGGGTTTTCCCCTCCATCAAGCGATAAACATTGTTTTGAAGACATTCCTCGTCACTGCAAAGCAAATAAAAAATTTGGGCACTAAAGTGCGTTTTCCAAGCTATTAGTCACTGTCAAATCTCTATATTTCGTTAAGGCGCCGGGCCTCGACCAATAATTAAGCAAATAGATTAGTGGCAAGGTGATAACGATAAAACCAAATGAGTCACCCATTAATCATCGAATTAGTACTGAGACTTTTCAGACAAATACAAATCTTCACCCTTGAAATTGCAAGTGCGAAAAGAGCTGAAGCTGAAGAACCACTTCAACTGACTTCAAGGGACACATTCCACAACACCTTTAGATCGGCACTCCATGCCCATTGATTGGCTGAAAGTTCAAGCTTGGTACCAACCGTAACCGTGAAGCGCGCACCAAGTCTCGAAAGCCGGTTGGGTTCTCGTTCGAAGACGCTGGTTCGTACTTGTTTATTACGAATTAGACAAAGAAAAATGAATGGCTTCAGGCGAGGCGTTTATGCATTTTCGAACAACCTCTCAGGCAACGGTAGAAAATGGTTCGGCGGGTCGTTGACCAAGACAAGGCGAACGCTGAACCGATCATCAGATTGTGCTCACCATACACTTGCTACCGTGTTCATTTCAAGCCAGAGCTTGATACATTGTATACAGGTAACGAGATCTTCGATTGAAGTTGCACATTTGAAAATTTATCAATAACTAGCGGACGAAGATCGAAAGCGCATCTTCAATACGTTTGTCGGATAAAATAGTGACTAATTAAGTAGAAAGCTCATTAGAAAAGTCGCGTTATTTAATCGCTAATTAAGCCACAGCAGAAAGTATGACAATTTGGGTAATCAGCTCGTTTAGAAATTAGGCAAATTTATGCCCATGCTGATGTCACCGACGTTTTTATTCCATTAAACAACGATCCGATAGTACATCATTTTTAATGCGCGCGTGTGGTAAAACACTTTACCTGCACAGAATTGCTGGCGCAAAGTCCCAGTTTACCACACGCAACAAGATTTTAAAAACAACTAAAACTATGTAACAGGCTTTTGCAATAGTTTTGACAACTGAAACGAATACGAAATTATTGAAAATTCTCGTACGCTACCATTCAATCTCCAAGATTGTCCCTTTTCAAAACAGAGCAAAAAGGGGAACGCGTGTATGGATTAAATGGGGAAAAATTCTCCATTGTTCCCGTTCGTTCAGATCAATATTGTTGGCTTCTCAGGATTGTGTGTACGTTATGGGGAGTGTAGTCGCTCATATTTGATACCTGCCCTATTCAGGCCCTTCGACCCTTTTAACGGTGTCTCTATACGAAAGGACTTTACAGATTTGAGCACTTAAGTTTGAGATTGCAACAGATTTTTATAAGGCCAAGGCAACGTGGTACAGAGTAGGAGTGAGAGAGGAGAATCCACGAGTGAAAAAAGTTTTTGGAATAATGTACATGACGTGTTCGGAAAGAATTTTGCATTGTTTCGTTTTATATAAGAATGCAAAAGAATGCAACCGGAATGTGAGAACGCAGCAACCTCACAAAGGTGTTGATCCCCAAGTCTAAAATCGATTAATTCTTCTAAACATACTCCCGAAGGTAGCCGCAATTTATGGTATTATTAGATATACAGTAGTTACATTTTCATTGTCCTTTGCAAAGCAACAGAGTAACAGACACGCCTGGGCTCTAAGGGACGACTAGACATTCAAAACAATAATAAATGACCAAATTTAGGCCAATAACTCGCGACTTATAAGCAACAAATCAGTTAAGTAGGTTTGTTTAATTTGGTAAATATGCGCAAAACATTGTTTATTTACCGCGCGACTAAGTTTTTGAGACGGCATGTCGGATATGCACCAAATAAGCGCTCCAAATCAGAGTGGTTTGGACTTGTAATCAGGAAATTATCCAAATTTTTCATTTATTTGCTGCGATAACCGCTAGCAAGTACATAAGTTTAACGAGTTGATAACATTCAATTCCAACTGCTTTTGGATAACTATTAACATTTTAGGCCAATAAATAACGTTATCCAAAAACTGTGTTACATTACATTTAATTACATTAATTGAATAATTCTAACCTGAAAATTGTCTTCAAGCTTGTCTTCAGAGCGCCAACATAGTCTGCACTTTACGAAAATCCGCACTCACTACTGACACACTAATCAACAATTATTTAAAAAATAAACGGCGGTATTTATGAATTTTAGCTCAAATTCATCAAAAGAAAATGGGAAAGCTGCGGAAAATGCAACTTTTCACTGACAGCGCTTGTCACTTTCAGCGCTCAACAAGATCTGTTGAAAAAATGTCAAAATTCCGTATTGTTGGCGGTCTTTGTCTGATGAACAGCAAAAAGGCAATTAATGCAATTGAAGGGATAGTCAAATTGAATTGTTTATTTCAGTTCATGTTTTATTCAGTAATGTTTGCAAATTAATAGAATAAGAAATAATGTTGACAGGTCAAACAAGAAAACTTTAATTTAGGTTAGTAATAGGATTTTCGTTGTTATATTTTCATTAAGTTTTCGTTTTTTCTTGCAACTAGGCCTGCGTATAGATATATGTTTATCTCTGCAGGGTTTTACAGTTTTATGTACAATTTGCTGTAAATCTTTACTAGTTAAATAAATTCAAATTCAAATTCAGTTCTTGGCTCCAATTTTTCTTCCTTCAATGTAAGGTTCTAGAATGAGTGAGCAGACAATTGCTTTATAAAACAAAACTAAAATAACCAACTGTAGTGCAGCATCATGGGGTAGATGGATGATTGTGGCAAAACAAGTCTCAGAATCAGATGTTTAGTATTCAATCTTTTTTCTGAAACATCTAGTTAGGCGACTAGGTGTAAGTAACCAACGTTGGAGCTCCAACTCTCATCAATAACCAATTACATTGGTTGACTGCTAACTGGCCCAATCTGTAGGGCTCGCCTCCAAGAAAGCCAAGTTGATTTATGTACTAGATCAGGGATCAGGCACACTTCACACAAAGAATTGACTAGGTACAATAATAGACTTTGAATCTGTTTTTCTTAACTCTGTCTAACAAATGCAACTGAAAAATTGTCCACCCTTTAAAGCACCGAAACTAGGCCTAGGAAACTCAATGAGTTTTTAGGAGTTGGCGCAGTGCTACGCAAATGGCTTGGTGCGCTAACCCAACGCACCGGCGCAGTAACTCAGTTCCGTTGATGGCAAAAATTGGATTTTTTGTTAAGTTGTTTTTCGATGTATTTTAAGAGCCATTTAGCAATAATGTTTTTAACATTTCTTCAAACTTTCAGAATTTTTCAGTTTTAGCAGTTACTCTTTTTTCTAAATGCTCAATTTTCAAAAAAAATACTTAAAATACTGACAATCTTAAGACATTTTTCGCGAAAAATTATGAAACAAATTTTATTGTAACATTCTCTTCCTTCGTCGCTTTGTAAAAAGTTTTGAAATCCCTTTCCAGTTTCGAATTTGGGATAAAAATCAAATATTTTTTTACCAAAAACCGAACTCAATGAAAGTTTCTAGTAAATTATTTGGAAAACTCATCACTTCCATTCCTCTGACGACTGTCGAGTTTGATAAAAAAATTAGGTTTTTTAGTTTTGACCGATTTTTTTTTGCTTTGCTTTGTACTCAATAACGCGCTATTTTGTAGAGTCGTACTTAAAAATACTGACGGAAAATCTGAAAAAATAAAAATCTGGATGTATTTTACGCGAAAAATTACAAGATATGTTTATAGCTTTGTACGAATTTTACAAAAACTTTTTTCGGAGTCGAATTCGAGACAAAAACGAAAATAAATTTATCCCGTTTTTCCCCGAAAACTATTCGTAAAGGTATTCGCAAAAACCGATAAAAAAATATAATTTTCTGATGATTTTCGTCTTTTGACAATAACGTTGCTAAAAAAAAAATGACAAAATTGGTTTTGCTAGAAAATTCGCCTCTCATCGATTTGCAGAGAACTTTAGAAAACCCTTTTCAGCTTCGAACTGGCACAAAAACCAAATAATTTTATTCAGTTTTTTACCGAAAGCAATTAAAATTATCTTGAAAAAAACGGCCAGAGCAAAAGTTTCCAAAAAATAATTTGGAAAATTCGCCACTCTCATCGCTCTGGAGATTTTTCAAGTTTTTTTTAAATTTCGAGTCATTCCAGCTTTAGCAAAGTTTAACTTCTTAACACTACGCAAAAAACGTATTATTTTTAATTTTACTTAAAATACTGACAATCTTCAGGTATTTTCTGTGAAAATTATAAAATAAATTTTATTGGAACACTCGGCTCCTGAACAACTTTGTAAATTTTGTTCTGGAACCTTTTGCAGCTTCGGATTTTGTACAAAACCCTAATAATTTTTTCTAGATTTTTTCCCAAAAATATTTCCCCGAGCAGAACAAGTGAAAGTTTATAATCAATTGATCGGAAAACTCGTCAATTTTGTCGCTGTGAATAACTTGGTTTATTTAAATTCCGGTTTCATCACTTTTAGGTCTATTTCTAAACAAAACTCTCTCTAAACAGAACGACGCGTTTTCCTAATGTTTGACTGTAAAATACTGGCAAACTGAGTCTTTTATGCAAAAAAGTTAAAAAATGAATTTTACAAGAAAAGTCATCGTCTTTAGTTTTGTCTTTATCGACTTTTTCGAATACCCGTTCGAATCGAAACAAAGTTATCTTGTGTTTGTTATCGACAAAATTTAGGTTTCCTCAAAAAACGACCAGAGAAAGCAAAAGCATATAATCAATATTTGAAAAACTCGTCATCCTCATCGCTCTGCAATTTTTTAGTTTCTTGAAAATTTACGGATTTTCCCCCGTTTTAGACCAAATAGTTTCAAGCAATGGTATGTGCAAAAGCAATATGTTGATGGCTTTCTCTTGTTAGATGTTAAAATTCCGTCATCGGTCATGAGTTATAACTCATCATTAACCAATGAGTTAAAACTCATTAACTCATTGGCGCACAACTCAACACAGTGTTAGTCAGGCCTAACCGAAAGTTATTCGAACGATAATGATTAAAATTTAATCCAAAGTATCTGTAGGTCGTCACGTAAATTGTGTACCAAAGTATGTATCATGCCATTTCAAAAGTAAATAAAATCCGATAAGTAATAATCATGTTGCGTAGGTTAAAACTTGTCAATTTTGCCTTGTATGCTTAGTCTCGGGACCTGGACCGGAGAAGGAAACTTCAAATTACTCCCGCGCGTTGCATCAGTGGTAGTATTCGACAACAATGAATACTTCAAGTCCGTTAACTATTTAATAAGTTGTTTAACCTGCTATCTATCACCGCAAGGAATTTACTCCCATATTTATTTAAGTTTAAGCAGCCACTAAAGTTTGTAGTAGTAGGCAGTAAACATTTAAAGGGGGAAAACGCGTTTGGCCGCATAAAATGACGCAAGCATGGAATAGAGAACAAATGACGTCAACATTGACCTATACATTCAAGGAACTTCCAGATCTAGAGCATCCGTACTTTTGTTTACAATCTACTGTTTGGTTGATTTGGCCAGACGCGCAGCTTCTTAGTCCGAACGGAAAACTTTTCAATAAGCGGCAAAGTACACAGTTTAGTTGGCAACAAGCTATCATAGGATATTTTTATTAATCTTATCATTGTTTACTTTGGCAGAGCGTCATCGAATTAATTGAATGATAAATAATTAGCAAAATGCGACTTGCTTAGAGCTGCTGAATGCTGGAGGTGGGACACTGGAACCAGATGAAAAATACGCAGTCAGTAGGAAGGAGTTTATTAAAAGTAACGGCAGTAACAAGGTTTACAACGAATGTACAAAATAAAATTGACCTAAGATAATGCTACAAGGAAATAAAACGCAAAAAAACATATTAAAAAATGTATTTCAAATATATAATATTTTATGTACAAGAATAAAGTAAGGGGGGTTCCTAGAACGGAACCGTAGGTTGCCAGTATAAAACATATATACAGAGTATGCGACCGAAATGATCCCAATCAACCCCAGTAGGATTTTCTCACGCGCCCGTACAACAGCCTCGATTCAAATGTAAATGACCCAGCTACCTGCCTAAATTTGGAATGTATTTAAATTGCCAACAGGGGCGCAGCTTGGGGTGTGTGATCTTGGATGGTCCACATCAATTGATTCGTTTTACAAAAATACAATTAACTACTTAGTTAACATGTCTCACTATCACAAAGGTTCACTGAAGAACTGATACAGCTGGTCGTTCATAAGCCCCTGGTCGATCCGTCCGAATTAACATTACAGTATCACATGGAATTAGCACAAGGACGGTCCAGGGCAGCTTCAGCCGACATTTGTTGTTCACATCGATATTACACTGTCATGGCAAGAAATGGCCTTTGCTGTAAACTGTCCTGGGACTCCTTCGCTTGAGCCGAACACAGATCGGGGGTGGACATGGACCTGTTGAGCTTGCCAGGCGCGTCGCCCCCTGAGCCCATGCTGAAACTGAAGATCGACACCAAGGACGTGATGCGGTCGATTTCCATTGCGTTGGAGGCCGTCTCGTGGCATCTCTCAGCTTCGACTTCTTTGCTCACAATGTCCGAGAGAATGGTTGCATCATCCAAGAACACTGAATCGTCACTGCTACTGCTGCTATCACTAAGTTCACTAGCTTCGTTCTCCGGTCGGCTCCTCTTGGGGAGAATGGACTGAACAGCCTCCTCGGTTTCCCATTCAGCCACCGCTCGCCGCCTCTTGAGCGAGGCAGTGGAGTTGCTCCTCTCCCTCAGCACGTTGGAGGTCTTATCCAGGTCCAAGTAGGTCAGCTCGCTCGAGTAGGGCGGATGGTTCTCCTTGTCCTGTTGACTCTCGTTGCATTTCACGCAGGACGGCTGCAGAAAATCCGGATCTGCGCTATCGCCCCCGCTGGACGAGGACTCCTGCAGGTCACCTGGTAGGCCGGTGGACTCCAAACCAGCCTCTTCAGCAGTGAGGCCCACTAGGTCGTCCTCAGCTAGGGTCGGCCTGGTCTGAATGGGCACGGGAGCATGGTAATGTACCATATTGTACGCCTCCTCCATGAAGATGTAGCGGGCCTTTTGCAGAACAGTGGCCACCAGTAGGTTCTTGTGCAGGCTGACGCCGCCACGATGAGATCGCGATTGGGCAATTTTTGTTAGGGAGATTCCGATTAATCTTTGCGCCTCACTAGCCATGTCAATCTTACTGGACTGATTTGTTTTTCGAACGTTTCTCTCACAATTACACACCACAACACACGTAACAGACGCTCAACTTTTCGCTCACAACCGTCGCCAGCAACAGCTACCGCTAAACAAGGCAGTGTTTGCTTCGACCCTCTACTTATAGACTCGCACTGTCACGTCACAACCTACTTTCAACGTGTCGTTCACCAATGAAACGCGGCCTTGCCGGTGATAGTCGAAGTTGTCCGATGGCCGATGTGGGCGGCAGCAACAGGGCACATTGCGCTCATAATACGTAAATACAACGTATAGAATAACCTTTATTGGCTGGTACACTGACGCTCCGCTTAGTAAAACGGAAGTTGTACACAAAAATGTTGGCGTCGTTGCGTACGCACACGCCCGAATACCCTTTGTCTGATTGATAAACGTCTAAAAGCTATTTTCCTGGGCATGAGTAACAAATTCCAGAATTAAATGGGCATCAGTGCCAGCCAGTTTATTGCAACTGACTAATCCTGGACTGACCCTAACAAATATTTATGTATGCGAAACCAACGATCGAATAGTAACTTGAAACACTTTGAAAAGTGTTTAGTCATTTACTTTTCATGGCTTTTGCAAATTCGAAAACTAACGCGTCATGCCATAATGATAAAGTTTTACATAGACCAGCGCATCCACCCAACGCCATACGAAAATCTGCTGATTAAAAGTGAAATTCCATCAAAGAAAAGATAACATAGTTAAGGATCACCCTGCCCCATCTGTTCATTTTAGTTTATACCAGTGCAGCTACGCGCTAATCTCATTCTCTAATCATACTGGCGACATCTTCTCAGTTTTCGGCTGAAGTCACATGCATCCGACAGCGTTTCCATTGGTCAGAATTTACACCAACGTCCGACATTATATCAAGCATGGCGAAACCCCTTGAAGTCCCATTAAGTGGAAAAAAAATAAGAGCTAGAAAGGAGAAGGAGAGAACACGAAGAAAGCCTGCTTTAATCAATAAATCAAGCATAAATCGAAGAGCGAAAAGTGGCTCTGGATCACTGCCAGCTGATAAACAGAAAAAGAAAAATTAGGAAAAGCAGGCATTTTTGTGCTCCGAAAAGGTTTTCATAATGGCTAATTAAATTAAAGCTCATTTAAGTGCGTTCGCTAGTTACAAAAGTTGTATTCTTCCAAACTAACCCAAATAACAATTTGAAATTTTTACGACCTATACAAGACACTTGACTAGAAGAATGAGAAATGTCTCGTAAAAATCACCTCAAATAGTAATTTTTTCAGCTTGAGATAGATGAGTCCAATAATGGACGTTCCTACTTAAGTGCGCTCGCTTCTCCAAATATTTGAATCTTTCAAAGTAATTCAATTGGTGATTTGAAGTTTTCGCAAGTATTTAGAAGATATTTGACTAAAAAATGGTGAATGTTTAATGTAAAAATTACCTGAAATATGGATTTCTGTCAGTTTGATAAAAGCGCTCTCTCCTTAAAAAAAATGTTTCTTCGAAACTATCGCAAAAGGCAATTCCAAATTTCCAGTCTTTAGAAAACACGTCGTTTTAGAATCACATAAATATTTTTAAAAAATCGTCCATATTCCAATTTTTGCCAGCTCAGTAAATATGGGTTTAATAATGGATGTCTCTCTTGTACAACCTTAATATCGACACAAATGTATTTCAAGTTGGCCCATGCATGCAATTCGCGAGCGTTTCATTATAGCTCATTTTATTTTTTTGTCAGTACAATCGGCGATAACGGCGAAAATATTTAGTTTTTAAGATTGTGCACCCCAAAACATTAAACAAGGAGGCCTCACCTTACTCTGGGCCCTTTTATAGTCAAGTCTGCCTGCCACCCAGCTTTAGAAACTGAGCTATCAAGAGAATTAAAATAATCCCCATCTAGTACATTTAACGGTTTATCTTGCTTATTTAGAAACACTAAAATGCTTATTTCTTTAACCAAATTTCTCAATTGACAGGTTATAGGGCAAATTTCCTAAAAACTCAATCAGTCTTATGATAACTTTGTCCACAAATATTTCCACGTTTACAGTTCGTCTCGATATTTAGCTCTGGACCTCGTAACAGGGAAGCCCCAAAACAACGAGGGGGCACCCCTAGAATCCCGTTCTCTTTTCACAAAGGCACTGAATGACGATATACAATTTCCTATAAAAACATTTGACTTTCCCAAAATTGCTAAATCTACATGAGGGTCTGGGGTGTTCAATTTGACCACTGTCACTTTCAACTTATGTAAGGCACTTCGCAATTCCTCTATCATGTGATGGTTATCGGAAGCCACAAAAACCGCCCGAACAGTCTTGTGACTGTCTACTTTAGCTAAATCGTTCATGTTCTTTATGGCCTTTTTCAGCTGTTTCACAATTTGTTCTTTCGAAGGCAAACACATTTCTGCAGTAGCGTTACCTTTCTCGTTCCTGTAGCCGAGACATTGGGGGGCGGCAAACAGATTGGGGCTTTCTGGGATATGTTTGCAAGCTCGCACCCAATCAACCCCATTTCTCAAGTGAATGCCTATGAAAGCACCTTTGGGCATTCGGCTGCTCAAGAACTTTTTCGCCTTGTCTTCGATGTCTTTCGACCAGACGAGGTGTTTGTGAATATGGCGATTCTCATCGGCTACAGGAAAACTTGCTGGGGCACCTGCATGCGCCACAATTTCATTCGTTGAAGTGTTGAAGTAGAAATCGAAACTTACCAGTAAATGCTAAAACTGGCCACTTGTCTGGTGGGTAAATCTCTTTCCACTTCTTCACTATATCCTCGTTACTTACATCATGGTGTAAAGGGCCATAAAACTCTGAGTCAACAAAATCCACCTGAATGGAGTCCCAAAAAGCCCCGAAGGGGTTGCCTTCTTTTGCATTGCATGACTTACTATCGCCTAAAAGTAACGGAGAGGCAAGTGTGGATTTATACATTACTACAAGTACCTTACCTCTGGCCATATAGCAGAAAACTACCCGTTGCTTACTGGGCCATTCATAAGGGGCAATCGAATCCATAAAGGTCTTCATTGGGATAACTTTGTGAAACTCCAGCAGTGGAGCCGTCGTAAAGTAGGTGCTAAAAGGCACAATTTTTGGGAGCCGCTCCCCATACCTATATTCAATCCAAGGGGGCAACACTAGGGTTCTGTTCAGGGCCTTGGCAAAGGCCAATGAGCCGAGGAAATGATCAGCTTGATTTCCAAAGCGGCCTGCCAATGGTGCAAATGCTAAATTACTAGATACATGTAAGGAATTCAGGGATTTTCTTACCCATACATGGGCAGTAAACCATATAACCCGAAGGGTCGAAAGAAACACTATTTTGGATCAGGTAAACTATCAAAATGGATAGAACGTACAATAAGGCCATTATGAATGATATTTTGCAAGGAAATGTTAATATAAACAAAATCGTAAATATGCCGGCAGTTTATTGTCAAACAATTGATAATTTTTCTAAAATCCATTAATGACAGCTATCGAGTGTATATTCTTGTCGAAACTTTTATCTCCGTCAACCTTATACACGAAAAAAAGGAAAACCATCGCCTTGCCGATTGTCAAGTCCAGAACTCTGAAGCAATGTTGCGCATTTCCAGCCGTTTTCCTTGTACTTTAGATAACTTTGCATTAGCAACATTATCCCATTCTTCACTTGCCGTCTCCCAGAGCAGTTCTAAAATCTGCAATAATAATATAAGAGAAATGGCATCAAAGTGAATAGTTAAAGATTTCAATTATAATGTTTTATTAAATATTTGTATTGTAGTTATTATATAGCCAAAGTTTATTTTGGTTCACACACACTTGGCATTGTCGCTGTGTCAATTTGGCTTCACTTTTGCGCAAGACAACGTCACTCATATCCGCTTAGCGCCATTTTAAGTTGTGTTGCGTTTCTTGTCGGTTCGTCTGTCTGACTGAGGTAAGTTCCAACATTATCTAGTAAATCTTCAACGCTTTCTTTATAGTAAAGGGCGGAATTCAGTCTCTATTGCATGAATAACATACTGTGTTGTATATTTTTGTGTGAATTCGTTTACTTCCTCGGCATTTGTTGATTTTGAAGTGGCGTCTTTTTGGAAACATCAAGCAGTAAAATATGTCTGTTATTTCCAGTGAGTTCCAATAATTAAAAATCAGAAATGGCGGACGCTGAAGATCTTCTCGACTATGAAGATGAAGAGCAGACTGAGCAAACTGTACATGAAGCCGAAACTCAAGAAACCAAAAAGGCAGTAAAGGGCACATATGTATCTATTCACAGTTCGGGATTCCGAGACTTCCTTCTTAAACCGGAAATACTGCGAGCCATCGTGGACTGCGGATTTGAACATCCATCTGAAGGTATGCAAATCGTTTCAGTTCTTTACCAATTTTTAACGAGAACAGTCAATTGACGTGGTTCTAACAATGTTTTTCGATTATTACAGTTCAACATGAATGTATTCCACAAGCTGTTCTTGGTATGGACATTCTATGTCAAGCCAAGTCTGGTATGGGGAAAACGGCGGTATTCGTTCTCGCCACACTTCAGCAGCTCGAACCCACTGAAAACGTGGTGTATGTTCTGGTAATGTGCCACACGAGGGAACTAGCTTTCCAAATCAGCAAGGAATATGAACGATTCAGCAAGTACATGCCAAGTATTAAAGTGGGTGTCTTCTTTGGTGGCCTGCCGATTCAAAAGGATGAAGAAATGCTGAAGAACAATTGCCCTCACATTGTGGTTGGTACGCCTGGCAGGATATTGGCTTTGGTCAAGTCGAAGAAACTCAATTTGAAGCATTTGAAACATTTCATTTTGGATGAATGTGATAAAATGCTAGAATTGTTAGGTAAGCGTCATTGATTTTATTGTCAGTTCTTGTTGTCGTTTGAGTCTATCCGAATCTTTAGTTTTTTCTTTTTTTACCTTAAAGAACACTTCAATTTAAGCACTTTCAGCGAAAAAAATATCTTGTGGTCCATATATTAAGCTAAAAAACACATAGTTTGATTAAAATCACCATTTTCAGGCTAATTTCGAGCGGTCTTGCCAAACTGCAAAACGTTTCAAGTTGATGGTTGACTTTTTGCGTTATTTACTTTGGTATATAATTGTCGGGAATACGATCTATTTTGCGCTGTCTACGCGCAGTCGCGGCCTGCACAGAGCCGAAAAACCGTGCCGCGTTGCCAAACTGCCACCAAAGTAGAAAATCAAAATGAAAAGGTAATCTCTTTTCGTGCATAAATAAGTGGTTTTGGAAAAGCGAGTTTAAAAAGTTTGTGGGTGTTTTTAGGCTTAATTTACACACCACCCAGGAATTTTTTTTTGCTGAAAGCGCTTAATTTTAAGTGATCTTTAAGGTAATCAAACTAAGAATTTAGAGGGATTAAAACGGCACCTTGATCGTCATTATTTTCAAAGTTTAGTAGGACTTTTCAATGATGATAGAACCGTAGGGACATATGACTCCTGATTATTTACGCAAATGGGAATCTCTCTGATCCAATTTCTCACTACCAAAAATTTAAATTTGCATAGAATATCCGCTAATGGGTATTTGTTGTTGTTCCAGATATGAGGCGTGATGTACAAGAAATCTACAGAAACACCCCACATGGCAAACAAGTGATGATGTTCAGCGCCACTTTAAGCAAAGATATTCGACCGATCTGCAAGAAGTTTATGCAAGATGTAATTGAACGTTATTATTCTACACCTTATTCTCCAATGCAAAGCGCGGCGTGTGCTTCATGAAAAGTTCAGAATTCTTCTAAATGAAAGCCGTTTTACAAAGCCAATTGACGAACGACGATCTTGTGGTAGTGTACTGTAGCCCAACGAGTAGGTCGGTTTGGGAGGGCTATGAAGAACTTGAATCTGACGGAGGGTGGGATTAGGTTGTTTTGGCCGTGCTACAGTACAACAAAATTGATGGGCATTCGTCATATGTTGAACACAACAAAGTAAATCACTTGGGAATAGCGTACTGTAGCCCAACGAGTAGGCAGGGACGGGATTGGGGTGAAGAAGATAACCAGCAATGGAGTCCCGCGTATCTTAATTTTTGGCCGAGCTACAGTACAACAAAATTTGAAATTCACACACCTGACCTGTCTTCTTCCATTACCGTCACGAGATGGGGAACTTCCATGTCCATGGTTGCGATTGGACCATCAATGGAGGGAGACTACCTGCCCTGTGACCGCAGCATTTCTATGTAATAAATGGAGTAGGAAAGAGATTTGTAATTCTCGGTATTTCACTTCAGTCTTTACTATTCCGTCAAAATGTTTGTTGCATCATTGAAGATTTCTGTCGTGCTTAATTCAAAGGGGTTTTCCTACTTGTACACGATTTAAAGTCGCTTTTTATGCCGAGAGTTATCTTCCATGTTGAATAAAACGGAGAAGGTATTAGCGGTCTTAATTTGCGATGCTTTCATTGAGTAAAAGTATTTGCAAAATATATCTTCTATTGTTGTCTGGTTTCAGCTCGAAAGATCGCTAATTCCTTGCTGTTAAATCTGTGTGTGTCATTACGTATTTACTTGTTTTTAGCCCATGGAAGTATATGTTGACGATGAAGCAAAGCTGACGTTGCACGGTCTTCAACAGCATTATGTAAAACTGAAGGAAAATGAGAAGAACAAAAAATTATTTGAGCTGCTGGATGTTCTGGAATTTAACCAGGTTTGTGCTGGTTTTCGACGTCAAAATTAATTCCTGTTCCTTGTTTTATGATGAATTTGCTTTATGACGCAAGTATGATTTAGCTATTTGAACTCTCTTTCTGATTTTTTCACAGTTTCTGCTGCATATTGTGTAAGTTTAGATGCTGTGTATTTTATAGTTTTTCCTTGCAGGTTGTTATTTTCGTGAAATCTGTTCAAAGATGTGTGGCACTGGCGCAGCTACTTACTGAACAAAATTTCCCAGCCATAGGCATCCACAGAGGAATGGATCAGAAAGAAAGACTGTCTCGATACGAACAATTTAAGGATTTTCAAAAGGTAAGCTTTATGTTAAAACGGGAGCTTTTAAATGAGTGTGTTTTTTTATTCATTTACATGATGATAGAAACGTAGGGACATATGACTCCTGATTATTTACGTTGATGGGAATCTCTCTGATACTTGAAGTAAATCGGAGCGACATTAATTGCAACGTCTTTTCAGTTTGACTAAAAGATTGTTAATTTTCAGAGGATATTGGTTGCCACGAATTTATTCGGTAGAGGGATGGACATAGAACGAGTCAACATTGTTTTCAACTACGACATGCCAGAAGATTCCGACACCTACCTGCATAGGGTTGCCAGAGCTGGTCGGTTTGGAACGAAAGGATTGGCAATTACTTTCGTGTCAGAGGAAAGCGACGCTAAGATTCTGAACGAGGTTCAGGATCGTTTTGACGTCAACATCACAGAATTGCCCGATGAAATCGATCTCAGTTCTTACAGTAAGTAGTTTTTAATTTGTACTTATGATTCGATTGTTCTGACACAGTTTTTTTGTTTCAGTTGAAGGACGATGAAGTTATAAATAATAAATATGTGTATTTTTTACCGAATAAGATTGATGAAAATAATTCTAATTTGTAGTAATAAATTTTTTGTTTTAAAAAGGCAGTTCGATTCCTATTTCCTTTTTTAAGTTTATTAGAACGCTTTTCCATAAATAGTGAGGCTGTTTAATGATGAACTTATAAACAGTTTCTAAGCTAATATACTGAAAATGGATTATTCATTTCATCTACTTGGCTGGCGCTTCCTTTAAGAGCTTAATGGTGGTGGCCATCTTTGTAGAACCTCAAACCGCAGTATCCACAAGAGTGATTTCCTGGTTTATCCTGCAATTATCAGTGAATAATAATAAAATTGAGTATGAACGAGTGTAAATTTAATGTAAACATTTACTCACCAAGTTGATGTAAACCCTTGGATGTCCTTCAGGTCCACTACCTCCATCGCAAAAAACAACCCTGTCTTTGCATGACTTTGGAGGAGCCTCTTCAATCAATTTGATAGAAAAATTGGGGTTTACATTTTTGGGACGATCGACAAATCGCGCTAATCTGTAGTCTTTTGGGTCAAATTTCTGAAAAACCAGTTACAGGCAACAACTTCCAACTTAAAATCGTCCCTAACCTGTCCTGTATGAGTTTCCTGGTCTTGTGGTGTGGATGTTGATGCGTTTCTAGTGCATAAGGTAACCAACCTGGATTGGTTAATTCGAACATTATGGCATAGCTTGGATAAAGTTATTCTAGACATTTTTTATGATGTAATTTTAAGTTTTGTAAGAGGTTAGGTTAATCCAGCTGCCATTGTCAAGAAAAGCCATGTTGCCTTTCTTGCGAGCCAAGTCTTTCATGAATATACGTGAGTGCAACTGAGAAAACCTGATGGCAATGAAACTAACAACACCGCATCTATCTTTGATGTCATTTGTCAGGGTCGGCATTTGCATTATAGATAATATTTTCTCTTGTCTTCATCTATGATAGATAAAGACGAGTATTGCATCATAACCTCTGTCATAACCACAAAATATCCCCCTACCCAGGGGATATGTTCTGTGGTCATAACCTTAGTTTAGCTCATAACATGTTTCACTGTTACGGCATGTTGTTTTTTATTTTTTGAGTGTTTAAGAGGCCAAAATGCAGGTTTCTGAGTCCAACAACGTGAAAATTTACAATTTAAGCACTGGAAAGTCGCTTCCAGAGGTGAGGGTACATTTAAAGCACAATCAACCGGTCTTACCAATCTTAGCTTGTTTTCAACTAGTCACCCCTTTTTCTTGCAGTGGTTAACTGAGAGAAAGCGACGTGCTCTACTGAAAAAGAATGTTGATATCAAAAGGCGGATTGAGCTCATTCAGGACTTTGATATGCCTGGCGTGAGCAACACAGTGAGAGTGTCAAAGGACGGGAACTACGTTCTGGCTACCGGGATCTACAAGCCCCGCATTAAGTGCTTCGATGTGAATAACTTGTCTCTGAAGTTCGAAAGGTGTTTTGATTCAGAGGCAGTCACTTTCGAAGTCCTCAGTGACGATTACAGCAAAGTAGGCCTTTCCTTAAATTTGAGTTTTCCAACTTCAAAACTGTTTTTTTTCTGTTTTAGCTGGTTTTTCTGCAATGCGATCGCTATTTGGAGCTTCACGCCGCTTATGGACGTTATTATCGGCTGCGGATACCGAAATTTGGACGCGATATGAAATATCATCCCCCAAGCTGCGACCTGTTTGTTGTAGGGGCATCTTCAGACATTTACAGACTGAATTTGCAAAGGGGCCAATTCATGACTCCGTATAGTACTGAGGCTTCGGAAATTAATAAATGCGTCATAAACCCCGTCCATCATCTATTGGCTTGCGGCACTAAAGAAGGTCGAGTTGAAGCTTGGGATCCAAGAGCTAAAGAGAGAGTGGGCGTTTTGGACTGCGCTTTCACTTGCCTCAACGAAAATAAAAGGTCAGTTGAGCAACAATTAAATAACCCTGTTGTTTTAACTGATTGTTAGGTTGCAGGGATTTCCTTCGGTCACCGCTTTGCAATTTAACGGCGGCGTTCAGATGGGTGTGGGTACGGCCACTGGCCAAATTCTCCTTTACGATATTCGCTCAGACAAGCCATTCATTGTCAAGGACCACATGTGTGACCAACCGATAAAGGATTTGGCGTTTCATTATCAGCAAGACCTTATTTATTCTCTCGATGAATCAGTGCTGAAGATCTGGAACAAAAATAATGTGAGCATCGACCCCAGAGCACTCTCAGTTAAAATGGTGACAATCCTTTCTTTTTCAGGGTAAACTGTATACTTCCATAGATTCCTCAATTGGGTTCAACAATTTGTGCATTGTGCCAAACAGTGGGCTATTTTTCATGGCCCAGGAAAGTACGAAGATCCAAACGTACTTTATCCCAAGTTTAGGCCCTGCTCCAAAGTGGGCCAGTTTCCTCGACTCTTTAACCGAGGAACTTCAGGAGTCTACCACGGAAACCGTCTATGATGACTACAAGTTCGTAACAAAGCAAGAGTTGGAAGCGCTCGGTCTGGAACATTTGATTGGCTCAACAGTGCTCAGAGCATACATGCACGGATATTTCCTCGATGTGCGATTATACAAAAAGGCCAAATCAGTGGCCGATCCCTTCGAGCTGGAGGGATACCGCAAGAAGAAAATCAAGGAAGCCATTGAAAAGCAACGGGAGGGAAGAGTGGAACTGTACAAACTACCGGCTGTAAACAAACAGCTGGCGCTGAAGATTATGTCCGATCAAGCCAATGCCAAGAAGAAGAAGCCAGAATCTGCAAATTTGTTGCAGGACAACCGATTCAAGGCCCTGTTTCATAATCCTGACTTTGAGGTGCAAACCACCGCTGAAGAGTATCGACTATTAAACCCGGTGCTTTCGAACATGGACAATGGCAAGGCAACTAAAAAAAAGGTATTCAATGCACTTGCAACCCTCAGAAAAAATACTAGATGTTTGTCTTTAGATGTTCGGCGCTGTCCGCGAAGTCCTGCCAGATGATGCAGAGGAGATTGAGGAACAGGACAGTTCAATAGCTTCTTCGGACGAGGCCAGTTCCGATGACGAGCACACCTGGTCAAAAGAAGTGAAAAAGCAACATCGACTGATACAAAAGGAGCAAAGGGAGAAAGACAGGGCCGATGAAAGGCAGCAGCTGGCAGAAGAAGACGCAGCAAAACCTCTGGGCGCAGCACGTGGCCTGAAAATTATCAGGCCGAAAGTGAACAAGTAAGTTATCTGCAGCATCATGCTAGCCTGTTTTTTACAGTTTTTTTCAATTAGGGCTCCCCTTGGCGAGAGAGTGGCAAACGAAACCGACTCGGTTAAGTACAACTCAGTGGGGAACAGAGAAATGACGTTTTCCACGCGGAAACGGCGCGACAATCGAGTGGAGGAAAGCAACAAAAGGCACAAAGAGGAGAGGAAGAAGGTGGTGCGGCCCGCTTTCGGCTTTAAAGCGAAACAGAAGCCCAGATTTAACAGAAGAAAGTCCTAAACTTGTAAATTATGAAATTAAACAGTAATTGTTGTTGCTAAAAGTCTAGTTTTACTACAACTTTCAAAATAATTGTTCTATGAAACAAGTATTTTGATATAGCGCTTAAATTAAATTACTCTCTGAGATAGAGTTGGGATCGACGGCCTGGTGTTGGCAGTATTCTTGGGATTATTTCGCATACTTTATGGAATGCCACATTGTCGATTTATAAACATTGCAAAAGGTTATCGGCGCCTTCATATCGAGGCAAGATAGTCAGTCTACTGTGGTCTAACTGAATTGCTTGACAGACAAATATTAATGTAGTTTTTTGTTTATTTTTGTGCAACTCAATGTGTGGAACTTTTCGCCTTCAACTGTTGAGATATTGAACATGATGAAAACTCATCTAGACATGGAAAATAAAGCTTTATCTCATGATGATCAGAGCTTGGAGGCAAACTTAATTTCATCCACCAGTATGGTCGGTTGAGTTGAGGTGCAAATTGAGGCTTAATGGAAGGAAACTCTTGGATATTGTAGGGAGACGAACACAACGTAATGATAATGGAAGATTCCTTTGATCCTTACAGTATTACGGGGATTTTAACTGTTTGCAAACGGGAGCTGCTGGGGCCGTATATGAGGTTTCTAAGCCTGGTGGGGCTGAGGCCCATAATTGGAGAACACAGTCAATGGGGCTGTTGCGTTAAATGGCTCAACGCAATGTATAGCATGCAGGTAACATTTATTGTTTTTACAGTATTCTGCGGTATTTTCTTCTTTCCCTCTTCAGGTCGTTATATTTCTGCTGCTGGGCTACTGTCTTCAGTACATGTCCTGTTTTCGAAGAGATCGAGGCTTCGGCAGCATGACCTCAACCCATTTGCACTCAAAACTGCACCTGAAGGCCATGTATGAAAAGAGCTGCACGGGTTCGCTCAGTTCCAGCTTCATCTTCCCAAGCCTCCTCCATTTCACCGGCTACCTGTATGCTTCGGTTGTGTTTAGAACGAACGACGACAATCAGCTGCCGGTTTTAATCGAAAGGGTATTTCTCACATCCAGCCACCTACCAAACATGCAGCTACATCAGCGGCAAATAGTCAAAACTCTCTGGACTTTCGTCGTAGGCAGTTTTGTTTGGATGCTGGCCACTATTGGCCTGGTCAGTTACATGATGGTTGAAGGGGATGTTACTATGAAATGGTTCGAAGATGGGTAGGTAACTTGGGGCAGACTCTAAAGTGAAGCTCATGCAATTATTTGCACTTTAGTCCGTTTCAAGTGCAATTAACTCTAAAGATTCTGCTAGTTGTGTGTTTGATCTGGCATGATATCGTTCAAGCTAGTGTAATTTCCAACTACTGTCTACAAGCCCAACTGCTAAGAAGCTACGTACAGTTTATAAGGGAAAAGTTGCTGCAACAATCCATTAGACCGCTCCAGTGGATTCGAGTGAGTAAAATGCATTTGCAAAATGCAATTGAATGAGTCTAGTTAATGAACTTTCAAGGATATTGAAGAGTTTCGCAAATTGCTCACCTACTTGAATCAAGAAGTCGCTCCATCAGTCTGCATTTTCACGCTTATCAATGGGACTTACGCAATTTCCGGGACTTTATGGCTGTTGGCCGCTCACTACGAGCTATCGAATGATATTGTGCCCATTTACACTGGGGTGAATATCGCGAACGTCGTTCTTTGGTGGTTTATTGCCGCAGCGCCTTTTGTACAAGTAAGCTATTTTATTGAAACAATTAAAAGGCAATACATAATTTTTCCCATCAGGCAGCCAGATTAACAATTGCCTGCAACAACATGAAGACTGTTGGTCAAGAAGTGATAACACGACCATTCACCCACATGAACACACCGTTTCAAGATCTAAACTCTATTTTGATTTACACAGCCAGTCTGAAGATCAAAGCCAAGCTGTTCAATCTACCGATAAGTGGGAAATATGTTGGGATATCATTTGCCCTCTTGTCTGTCCTGTTTCTGGTTCTAAGCCAAAGTAACATTCTAGAGATTGCATTTCAAAGCTAATCTTTATTTTAAGCAATTTGAATATGTGACCACTATTAGAGTGGCAGGCACGTTTTAGTGTTTCAGAAATAGAATATTTTAATTTAAGACGAAAACTGTCTGTTCTTCTTTGTTACATTTTAATTTCTTATTCAGCTTTCCCGCAGTTTCTGTAATTCAGCTAAGAATCAGATTCAAAATGACTGAACTTAAATATCTTCTCTCTTGCTGATCTTTTATTTTTTTCTTCTCTTTTTCTTGCTTGATCTTCTTTTAGGCGTAATTCCTTCTGCTTGAAAACGCACAGACGTTGGTTATCTGTACTTCTCTGATGTTAGTTTTATTTTTGCCTAAAAGAACCGCAAACTGTGTTCAGCATTGCAACGTCGGAAACTTGACCACAATCTATGGTATTCTACTAAAAGGCTTTAACAAACATTAATTAAGTGTTTAACTGTGGACGAAGGGATCAGAAGACGAGGTATAAAACAAACAAGTCTCTTTACTATGAGAAAATGGCATTTACTAAAGAAATCCGGGCCGAATTGATCGTAAAAATAAACTTAAAGTGATACCTTTTGTATGCGAAAATTGGAATTTGTTTCATTTTAGACGTTAGTTTCTATCTTCTACGTACATAAGAAACTAAATAGTATCAGAGCCATTACAAAATTAACGGTTCCTTTGTCAGGGCAGCATTTTACGAGCGGTGCTTCGTCGTTAGAAGTTGTTTCAGGCTAAACGAAGAGACGCCAACTCCTAGACTGGCCAGTAGAAACGCAACTGGAAATACGAGCCTGTCGGCAGTTCTTCGGGTTACATCAACATTCTGCAAGAAAAAATAACTATTTAGATCAACATCCAGCGAAATGCGGCAAATTTCTTTGACCTGTACATTGTTATTGGGGTTGTGTTAGTCCAATCATTTTCCACAGTAGATAGCAATTTGTTATTATTTATGCTCTTACTGACGCAGTTACAAATATGAACAATTATGTGTTATTGTTGCTAGTTAGTTATGTTGGCAGCTTTCCAATCACATTATGCGCCTTGGAAATGAACTTGGATCCAAAACAACTTATAATCAATCACAAAACAATTCATCAATATTTTTCTAAAGGGTCTAGCACTATCTGATATTAAACAACTAATGTTTTTAAATTCAAATTTGTGTAATAAACAAACACAAATAAAACTTTTATAACATACAATTCGCTACCAAATCAACAAGTTTATTCTAACTGGGTTACCTGCTTTTTAGCTAATTTTCCATAAAACCATAACAAGTAGAATTGAGAAAGCAACATTCAGACTAAAAGGTCAAGAGTTTGGAATGCCAATCAATATATTTATATAACGTTTAGGTGTGAAACTTTAAAATTTACAGGGCAAAGTTGTGGGCAGCGCAAGCAAAAGTGTCTCCAAGCGATTTCAAAAATAGCTACCAAGGTCCTGATTTATATTCGGAATGAAACTTTAAATAGAAAACAACCGTGACAGTGGCCCTGAATTGGGTGTTTCTATTAAGTAATTAACCAATTTACGGTAAACTCGCTGTGAACGCTGCCAAATTTGTCAAAAATATATTTAAAAAAAAACGAGAGTTTCTGCGATAATAATTTAAGGTTGAGAATGCAGGTTAAAATTTAACAAAAAAAAAACGAGAAGGTAGAAGAAAACCATCCTAATAATTATTGAGATGAGTTTTTGCGCCTGTTGCTTCAAATTGGTAGTTTTTCAGGTTTGTAGGCCGCCGTGGAAAATAATTTATCTGGAAGGTAAACGACTGAAAAACAACCAATTTTCGATTGCGCAAATATTTGCGTCCGCGTCTCTGAAAACGCCCAATGAGGAAAATACAGTTACTCAGCTCCTTTCTCGACAACTAACGCAATGCAATAAAAACAACTTGTAAAAATCCAAACTGTTTACTTGAAAATACAAAAGTATAAAAATAGAAAACAAATCAACATTAACGAGAAACACTAATTGAACGCACTACAGCATTCCAACATCGAAAACTGAACAACTTTTATATTCGTGGGTTAACCAATTAAACTCTCTTATTCATCAACCACGCAGGAAGCTTCTTTTTGCCGGACTGGCTGCTTTTAACCTCACTGGCCATTGAAACCTCATTCGTAGGACCCAACGTTTCCACCCTTGGTTCGTCATCCAGTTTGCTCTTTTTCAATGGCGGAGCTTCTTCCGGTGCTTTACTTGCGGATTGGTTGATTTCACGCAAATTTGGCAAACTTTGCTTCTTATCCTCCGTGATTTGCTGTTCCATTTGGTCGACCAGTGCAGACAATAAACTGTCCTCGTGGTCGTCAAAGCCAGCCTCTGAGTCGCAACTTTCTTCAAGCGGGAGTTCTTCCAAAGGCTCATCGAAGTCCTCAAACTGCACTCCCAAGTCTTTCAAGTGCTTCCTAACATGCAAATATGCGCAAACGCACTTGATTTGATCATACGTTACATCGTCCGGGCATTGGGCTTTTATGGGGGTCAGCTCTGCAACCACGCCTCCCAGTTTTCTGATGGCTTCAAGGATCGTTTGCTTTGTCGCAGAGCTCACTCCTAAGTCCTCAAGTTTAATTGGATATCCACACTTTAACAGGGAAACCAAATGGCCAAAAACAGTAGAAAGGGCTAAGTTTCTTTTGGCTGCCACTTGATCCACTGACTTGCAACTGGTAAAGTACTCATACGAGATAGAGGAAGAACTAACAACTTTTGCTCCTGGAATAGGGTGGACTTTGAGGATATCCAAAAGCGTTCGATTGGAACTTTTGCATACATCCGCAGTATTATTTTTGATCACTTCCAGGAGCTGGTGGCCAAACTTTTCGATTCTGGCCTCAGTTAAGCCCTCGATTTTCATGCCCCGAAGTTGATCCAGATGTCTGGGCTTGTGCCTGGCCATTTCCATCAGGATGAAATCGGAGGCCACCATGTACGGCATGCAGTCATTGCTTCTTGCCAGCTGGCTTCTGGCGTTCTTCAACAGTCTCAACAGTTGCAGCCGCTCATCGACTTCCTGGTGCGTTTCTTCGGTTTTTGCAAAATCGACCACATCTACCGTGCCGGACACAGATGGGGCTTTTCCCGAAGAAATCCAGCCGCTGGTTGTCTGGCGCTTCTTCAGCAAGTGTAAAATGCCCAGAGTGGGCTGTTCTAACAGTTTTCTCGAGTCAGGCGGCGTGTTGAGGAACTTCAAGCCCTCATCACTAACATCGAACACTGAAAATGAAAACGAGCTGGCGGTTTTGCTCTTGGCTTGCTTAAGATAGTGTTTTAGATCCAAAAAGTTTGCTATAGCCTTCCACCAGTCGTCCGATTTGTTCTTCCCGGTGCCAAAACTCGGATGACTTCTAAGCCGGTCTGGAATCTTGGAGCTTTTCGAGCCTCGCACAAACATAATGTACATTCCATGACCGTACTTTCCTCCCAACGCAGATATTGCCGATAGATACTTGACGGCATCCTCTGTAAAGTCGTAGAAATCTCTCTCATCAACGCCCTCATAAATCGATTGGTCACTTGGAGCAGTTTTGGCCAAACAGTTGTCGCAACAGTCGCTTCTCTCGGGCATGGACAAGTCGGCTTTGCCCTCAAAGTATGACACAAGAAAGGCTCGTCTACACTTACGGCTATTCAAGTATTGCTTCATTGTGCTTAGTAATTCGGCACGGCGGTTTGAGTTTTGGCCCTTTTCAATCAGAAATCCATGAGTAGCAAAATCCTGCGAGCTGAAAAACGCCACGCATTTGGACGGCAGTCCATCCCTGCCAGCGCGCCCCACTTCTTGATAGTAGCTCTCAATCGAGCCGGAAGAACCGTAATGAATAACATTTCGAATGTCCGGTTTATCGATTCCCATTCCAAAGGCAATTGTGGCAATAATGACGGGAATTTTGTCTTTGACGAATTGTTCATGGGTTTCTTTGCGAACCGCTAGTGAAAGGCCTGCGTGATACGGCAGACAAGACACTTGGTGGTTCTGTAAAACTTCACTAAGATTCGCAGTGTCTTTGCGTGTAATGCAGTAGATTATCGTCGAGCCATCAAAGCCCCACTTGCCATTTTTTCGCGTCATTAGCGGCTTCAAATCATCGAAAAGGCTGGAACCTTTTGGCCGCGCCGCGTAGTACAGATTAGGCCTATCGAACCCCGTGCCAACTAGCTGAGGATTTAGCAGTTTTAGACTTTTTATAATATCATTCTTCACACGTTCGGTCGCAGTGGCTGTTACAGCCAAAACCGGCACTTCTGGCAAAAGGGTTTTGAGCATGCCTAGTTGTCTGTATGAGTGGCGGAAATCGTGGCCCCAACTGCTCACGCAATGAGCCTCATCCACTGCTATGAGAGTTATTTGCAATGAGGAATTCATGTCTTTCAGCAAGCTGATGCCGAATTCGCCTGTGCAGAACTCCGGAGTGAGATACACCAATGAAAACTTGTTTTTCAGAATATCTGCAATCGTTTGTGCGGTGTTTTTCTGCGCTGTGCCCAGCAAACAGGCGGGAATATTGGCAATGGTCAAAGACAGCACTTGGTCCTCCATTAGAGATATTAGGGGAGAAATCACCAAAGTAACTCCTCCCGAAAACACTGCAGGAAATTGGTAGCATAGAGACTTGCCATATCCTGTTGTCATAATGGCACAGTTATCTCTTTTGTGCTTCAAGATGGAACTAATGATTTGCCATTGGTAAGGCCGGAACTGTCGATGCCCGAATTTTGTCATTAAAACTTCCAGTGACTTTGAATCGGGAACATCGCTTTTATCGGTCGCTTGAGACTTTACAACGTTTTGAGAGCCAGATTCTAGCGCAGTTGGTTCCCATTGAGTCGCAAACGCATTGAGTAAATCATCGTCTAATGAATCCATTTCCATTTTATTCAAAATACACTTGCCAATCTCAAAGCCTAAAAGAAATGCAATGATTCAGGTCTTCGATTGTCCAGCTTCACTAGATCAGATTAAATAATTGATATAATTTTACAAAAGAAATATTGCATTTTTTGTCCTCAAAACCTGCTAAAATGGTGCATGATTTTATATGATATAATGATATAATGGCCATTTTACCTCGTTATTCAATGAGAAAACCACACATTCTAAGTTCGTTATAATCTTAATAAATTGTCAATTTCCTCTACATTTTTCCAGGTAATTAACAATTATTCACATTATGGCAACTAGCTTTTTGCGATTCTACCGGCATTCTACATAAACCGTGACAACACTACGTTTGAACGCACTCTACGTAACAATAACAGGATATTCGCACAAAATGCGGCAACATATCACTAGGGGAATTTCACATTTCTAAACTGAACAGCACCACTCGTTAAAGTGAAGATGAATAAGATAAATTAGTAAGGTTTCTCAACCACCAAGATCACCAGAAAGAAAAAAAAACAGATGCTTTGTTTCGCACTTGAGTTGAAAAATCGTACTGGTCAACAAGTAAAAAAAACGTGTTTCTTATTTTCGCATAAAAAGCTACAATTTTTAACAAACCTACATGGTGTTGATAATTTAATAGAGCGCAACATTTTAACATAAYATTTTGGGTWAMWGGGGTGGGTAACTAAAAGTGGTTTTCAAAGAATTATTGCCTCTTATTGGGTCTCGCGTATCTCTTGGAAGAAACAACACAGACAGTGTTTTCAGATCTTCGTCGTAGTACAAGTAATTTWTATATATACAGGGTGGCCATTTTCTGAATCTTGGTATGGGTAACTTCTACATTTTTAAAGATAGTAAATCCGTTAAATTGGAAAAATTGGGCAGAATTCGATTGCCTATTCCTTACTGTTTTCAAAATTTAGGTACCCGACCTGGTTCTTGAAATATCCTGAGAAGACAAGAAATCGACACTTTTTTAATTATCACATATTTCGTAAACTGCTTAACTTGGAAAAAAGTTAAACTTGCCTTTGGTAGAACTTTTTGCGTTGAACTCAATAAACGGGTACTCGTTGTCATAGTCAACTTGATTTACGAGATAAAAAATAAACTTTTCTTTTTTTAAATGGTAATCATAGTTGGCTGTGGGCCTTTTAAAATGCTTATTTTTTCTGAATTTAACGATATAACGTTTGTATGTTTATCTCTTCTTTTAACCGAAAAAATTCAAAAGAAAAACATTAAGAAGCACCTAGCAGTATTGTCACGAAATTGTTACTTTACTTTATTTTACTTTTTGTAGCAGTTAATAAATCTAATTAGTTAAAATTATTATTGTTGCTAAGTAAAAACGATGCATTTTGTTAGCAAAGAAGGCGGGAAAATGTATTTTAACGAAGAAAATAATGACATGCTATTCTGTTACTATACCTGTAATAGAATTACATAGTAATATAGCTAGCAACTCATATTTGGACCAATAAATGGAGAGGAGACAACCAGGCATACAACTTTTTTCACGACTGGAAGCCAACTTGAAAAAATACGGATCATTTAAAAAACCAACAAACGGGAAGATTAAATTTAAAGGACAAGATTAAAGAAGAGTTTTATCTTACACCCATTTTAATCCAAATTTATCAATCAGATAAACTGCCAGTGAATGTAATGTTTCTAAGGAAGAAGCCCGTTTGATTCTAAAACAAAACAAATTCAAGCCTTTCAAGTACCACATTACAAATACTATGCATCTCGAGATTCTGGACGAATACTTCAGTTTGCCTAGGTGGTTTAGTAGGGTTTGCTAGGGCTATTAGATCTAAAGTTTCCCCTCAC